GAAAATTAAGAAATTAAAAAAATAAATTTTCACTTTTTTTTTTTTACATACTGTTACCAGTGCAGTACAGCAGCAGCATATAACTGGTGTGGCGGTGATCTGGGACACTGACTGGTGACAGGACAAAAAAAAAAATTTGATTTTTTTTCTTTTTTTTAAGATTTTTATTCATATTACACTATGACCAAAGTAGTATAGTGTTACCATAGTAACATTATACTACTTTGGGGAAGTGATCAGTATTTTTTTTTTTTTACACAATTTGATTGCTTATAAGCAAGAGTTTAACTGAATAAAAATGATTCATTCAGGGCTTTTTGTTGTGATTAGCTGTGATTGGCCATGGCTAATCACATGACACAGATGGGCTGTGATTGGCCCAGCCTGTGCATGTGATCACTGTGACCATTTACAGCTAGACACACTTGTATACAATGGATGGCATGAAAGGAAGCCATCCATTGTATACAACTGTCATGTGACCTGCTGTGATTGGTCACAGCAGGTCACATGGTACTGGCAACGGGGCCGGTACACCGGTTACACGAGGTACACAGCCGGTGACAGATCTAGTCATAGCGCGGCCCTGTGGGCACGCGCAATGCATGGTTCAGGAAGGACGTCATATGACGTCCTACTGGAGGGATGAGAAGTAGTTAAATTAAAATAAACACTGCCGGGAAAATGTTGATCTCTTTAAGATCCTATCATTATATTTTGAGATCAAGCACCACACCACTACACCTCCTACAGCCACAGCCATGTCATGACTGGACAGGGAAAGGATAAGCAGCACACTTATGAGCTCATCTCTCTGCTCTCTCTTCCGATTAGCATGATCCTTGCACTACAACACACCTGATTGTTTTCCTTGTGCTGATTCTCTCTTAGCTAGTCTGAATGCAAAGGCACAAGCACCAAGTCAGTCATATATTTTGCTTGCATTTAAAAATGCTGCATTAATCATCACAGAACTACACTCATTTATGTATTTTTTTATATGCCTGGAGTTCAATTTTAAAGAATAAATCCAATAAAATTATAATGTCCTGAGAAAAAAATAGGCTGCCATTGCGGACTTCTCTTTTTTGAAAATGCAAGCTTCCTGGCTGTTAATAGTCCACTGGCTGTAATACACTTGGAATCACAGAGCAAGAAAGGGTATGTAGATCAAGAGTTTTCAGTTGGCTGGCTGTTACCTGTTCAGGTTCAGTGACACCGAAGTAGTATAATCAGCTAAGAAACTATTGAGGTCTGCAATGCTGAGCTGCTATGCTAATTCTCTGACTACCATCATTCATATTATTTACCCAGAGAATTTATAGCAATATAGAATGCTGACTAGTCTCTTACTTTTATTTACTGCATTCTTCTTCTGGGTGTGAGTTAGACATACATTACAGAGTAATGAAACAAACTCTTAGAATTGGAATGCATACAGGAAACTGTCTACCTGCTCAAGCCTTGCAGGTTTCCAGGTACAATGGCATCACTCCACTCTACTATTTTATCTCAGCAACTGAGGAACTTTTTTTTGCTAACCTGCCTGTAATGTTGGAGACCTGTTCCTTAAAACGCCTAAAGTAAGCACCTCACTCTCTAACATACAGAGAGATTAACCCCTTCATGCCTAAGGGTAAAACAAATCCTAACGCCTAAGCACAATCTTGCAACTTTGCCATGTGTTAGTAAAACCGTACATATCATCACAACTACTTTGTACATCCAAGTGGATTATACTGCGTTTTTTTTTTTCAGGACAAATTGGGCTTTCATTTGGTTAATGGTAATGGATATCTCCTGATATTTTTTATTATCAAAGGAAAACTGGCCCAAAATAGTAAAAAAAAATAATATTTTTTTTTAATTTAGCTGTGTGTTTCTTGTTACTACCATAACCTACCACCAAAGAACAACCCAAAATAAATATTTCAGCTCTTGACGATTGCAGCGATACCATATATGTGTATGTTATTTGTTGTTTGTACCCACGGTAAAGCCCAGAAACAATAGTGCGCATTTTGTGTTTAGTTTTTATTTACCTAAAACACACTGACACTGAAATGAATTAAAAAAAAAAAATTCTGACCTTGACCCAAAAACTAACCCTGGCACTGAACTAGGTCAGACCTTGATCTAGGTATTTTTTCTTTAATCTTTAATCTTTATTTATCTTTTTTTTTTTAACCATTTGCCGCCCGCCCTATGGCCGAATGGCAGGCGGCAAATGTCATCGGCGTTCCAGGTGGACGCCATATGGCGTCCTCCCGCACATGCGCAGATTGCGCTCCTGCAGAGCGGCGCGATCTGTCCGAGGTACACGGCCGATGACAGATCTGAGTATCGGCCCCGTTGCCGGTACCATGTGACCTGCTGGACCAATCACAGCAGGTCACTTGACAGTTGTATACAATGGATGGCTTCATTCATGCCATCCATTGTATACTAGTGTCTAGCTGTGAATGGTCACAGCTAATCACATGCACATGTCATGTGATTAGCTGTGGCCAAATCACAGCTAAGCACAAAAAAAAAACCCTGAATGAATCGATGTCATTCAGGTAAATGCTTGCTTATAGCAAAGTAATTCTTTGCTATAAGCAAATTGTGTAAAAAAAAAAAAAAAATACTGATCACTTCCCCAAAGTAGTACAATGTTACTATGGTAACAGTGTACTACTTTGGTCATAGTGAAATATGAAAAAAAAAATCTTAAAAAAAAGAAAAACAATTTAATAAAAAATAATCATAAAAAAAAAATACATATATATATATTTTTTTTCATACTGTCACCAGTCAGTGTCCCTGATCACCGCCATGCCAGTTATATGATGACGCTGTACTGCACTGGTGACAATATGTAAAAAAAAAAAATAGTGAAACTAATTTTTTAAATTTTTTCATTTTCCGAAAAATTATGACAAAAAAAATACAACTTCAAAAAACTTGCCATGCCTCTTATGAAGTACGTCGGACTGTCTACTCTGCAAAAAGGGGTCATTTGGGGGATATCTGTACTGTTCTGACATTCTTGGACCTTAAGAAATTAGATTGGCTGTCAGTACTTCAGGATTGATCAATATTCAGATCTATACCACAGTTTGTGAACTCTATAACTTTCCTACAAACTAAAAAATACATCCTAATTTGGGTTATTTTCACCAAAGACATGTAGCAGAATACATCTCGGCCTAACTTTATGAAGAACAATTATTTATTTGCAAACTTTTATAACAGAAATAAAAACTTTTTATTTTTCTAAATTTTTTGTGTGTTAATTTGGCAAAAAATAAAAACCCCAGTGGCGATTAAATACCATCAAAAGAAAGCTCTAGTTGTGTGAAGAAAATGATAAAATTTTAGTTTGGGTACAATGTTGTATGACCGCGCAATTGTCATTCAAAGTGTGAGAGCGCTGAAATGATTGCTGGCCTGGGCAGGAAGGTGTAAAATTTCCCAGTATTGAATTGGTTAAAAACAGGTTTTTTTTTCTCTCTGCAAGAAGAGAGAGATACAGTTAGGTCCATATATATTTGGACACAATTTTGCATACTTTTGGCTCTGTATGCCACCAGAAAAATTAAAATGAAACAATCCAAATGAATCTGAAGTGCAGACATTCAGCTTTAAATCAAGGGGTTGAACATAAATATTAAGTACAAATTTTAGGAACTGCAACCATTTTTATACAAAGTACAAAGCAACAGATTGCAAATGCAAATAGCACACTTGAAATTAACTCTGGACCTTTTATCTGCTCATTGTAATTGGGATAATGAGGGAATAACACACCTGGCCATGGAACAGCTGAGAAGCCAAGTGTCCCATTACTTTTGGTCCCTTAACAAGTGGGAGGCACATATGTAAACTGTTGTAATTCCTACACCGTTCACCTGATTTGGATGTAAATACCCTCAAATTAAAGCTGACAGTCTGCAGTTAAAGCACATCTTGTTTGTTTCATTTCAAATCCATTGTGGTGGTGTATAGAACCAAAAATGTTAGAATTGTGTTGATGTCTCAATATTTATAGACCTGACTGTAATTCACCTGTGGACTTTTATTGATTTTGTGTAAAGTCAGTGAAAATTATAGCACTCACTACAGGTGCAATACAATTTCATGGTTTGGTTTAGGGGCATGTTGGAAAGCAAGCCTCTTATATCTATATATGCACATTCTATATGTAGCATCTGTCTATTTATAATTATTAATTTAGTAACAGGTCTTTGAGAGCTAGAATTCTTGCTGTTTCTTAGGTGTTCAAATACTTATGTTCAGTAGTGCAAGACAAATAAATTCTTTAAAAATCATACAATGTGATTTCCTGAATTTTTTTTTAATTCTGTCTCTGATTTCTAAGTGGGAGAACTTGCAAAATCGCGGGGTGTTCAAATACTTCTGTTCCTCACTGTATATGGACCTAACTGTACAATGTATTTTTCTCCTCCATTCATAGAGGAAAAAAAAAAAACAAGGTGGGCGGGCTGTACAGTGACTGATCACTGTGATAGCCAATCGTTTGAACGGGACCTGGGGCTCTCAGTGACACCTTGGTCTTTGTGCTGGGAGTATGCTCCCAGGACAAAAGACAGGTATGCAAATATGCGGCCTCACAGAAAAAATCAGATCCAGTCCACTAAAACAAAAAAAAAACATACCCCCCCCCCCCTCCCCCCCACCATCTAAGTGGTTAAGATCAGAGGCCAGTCCGGTGCAAGCAGACAGCAGAGTCTGTTTACATTTGCTGTTCCATAGAGCCAAGTGGCTTGGTCTGTGTCCGCTCTGCATAGACTGAACCAACACAGACTTGTCATCCGCACACTCTGCTCTGATCAGCATGGGATCAGCAGAAAGATCCTCTGCCGATCATAACGGAGTCTGCCCCATGTAAAAGGTGCCTTGGGAACCTTTGAAATTACAACACCTGACATGTCCAGAAAATGAAAGCAGTATCAGTCAAACTCTATAGGATTACAAATAGATACCTTTCCACTCACCTGAGCCAAATATTCCACTAGCTGACACCTAGAAAAGGGAATATATCTTTCCTGATATTGTACATTCCAATCCTTGGGCTTACTGGGTTTCCACATTTTTTTATATTCGGCCATTTTAGCGGAAAGGGAGCCCATGTTGCGGATTAATGCATGGCCTATATCAATCCCCGTGCGGAGAGCCCCCAAGGCTGTGTGTAGCATGTTGAAGGCCAGCAATGTCCCTAGGTAAGAAAAAAAACACCAACACTAATGAACAAATTATACACGGAAGAATGTATCGAATCCAGGAGACTGTAAGCTAAAGAAAATCTATAATGAAAAAGTAGTGCCAGTAAGAGATACTGAAGGTTCTTGTTTTAACAGTAAACTTTGTATAGCCACAATAAAGAAACAGTATATGTAAACACCAGTTGTTACTGCCACTAGCTACTGCATCTAAACATTGGTTTTCCTTTACAAATTGTATTCTGGAGCTACCAAAGGTGGCATACAAAGCTTTCTTTTATTTCTTTTTGCAGTTGCTGCCATGACTAATTTCATGGAAAGTTAGATATACAGTTAACTGGAGAGGAGTGAGTCTCCCGACCTCATACATTATATGTATACAGTGGGGATCGAAAGTTTGGGCACCCCAGCTAAACATTTGTATTAATGTGCATAAAGAAGCCAAGGAAAGATGGAAAAATCTCCAAAAGGCATCAAATTACAGATTAGACATTCTTATAATATGTCAACAAAAGTTAGATTTTATTTCCATCATTTACACTTTCAAAATAACAGAAAACAAAAAAATGGCGTCTGCAAAAGTTTGGGCACCCTGCAGAGTTAATATCTTGTACTGCCCCCTTTGGCAAGTATCACAGCTTGTAAACGCTTTTTGTAGCCAGCCAAGAGTCTTTCAATTCTTGTTTGAGGTATCTTTGCCCATTCTTCCTTACAAAAGCAAGTAATAGAAATATTTATTATAATTGTATTGCATGCATTGACATATGAATAAACCATGTTCCCCACAGGCCCCACTTATAAGTCTAAAAGTGAACATACCCCCATTGGTGCCCAACCAGGGCAGTGTAGACACCTCTGAATCTGAGACCTGACTATTTTCCACTTTTAAGTGGATAATGTAACCTGTAGGGAGCATGGATAATTTATATGTCAATGTTACATCTGTTCTTTAGTAACTTCAGAACCCATCCAACTCTGCAGCAAGCCTTTGACAACTTTAAAGGGTTAGTTCACCTTTACCAAAAAACTGCCTATGCAGATAAGGGGTGTCTGTAGATAAAAACAAACTGTGCAGCCCTGACTAAAGTTGAATAATATTGTTGCTATAGATGTAGGCAATTTATGTACCTTATGAAGTCTGATTGGAATACTCCCAGGACATTGCTAAGTGAGGCCTACATGTTACTACTCACCTCCTCCATCACAGGAGTGAGCCCTCAAGACTCTGAGCTCAGAGCTACTGTATCAGGGGAATCAGTCATCATATGGATCATATTCTAAATCAGATCGTTACCGCTGGATGTGCGGTAATACAATAGCTTCGGCTACGTACAGTATACAGTATATATACAGCCCACTGGATGTGCGGTAATACGGTAGCTTCGGCTACGTACAGTATACCTGTATATATACAGCCCACTGGATGTGCGGTAATAAGGTAGCTTCGGCTACGTACAGTATACAGTATATATATACAGCCCACTGGATGTGCGGTCAAAACGGTAGCTTCGGCTACGTACAGTATACAGTATATATACAGCCCACTGGATGTGCGGTAATACGATAGCTTCGGCTACGTACAGTATACAGTATATATACAGCCCACTGGATGTGCGGTAATACGGTAGCTTCGGCTACATACAGTATATATACAGCCCGCTGGATGTGCAGTAATGTACATACAGTATACCGCACTGCGCCAAGCTGGCTCAAAACAAATGTCCCTATGACAGATTAATCTGTCAGCCTGCTGGATGTGCGGTATATACAGTATACTGAGCCAAGCTGTTTCAAAACGTACCAGTACGTTCCTACGGTAATCAGACCACTGGATGTGTGTATGTACGGTAGCTGCGGCTACATACAGTATACATGGGGCCAATCACGGTGAGCAATGTATTCTACTAATGAATACAAAGCCTGCTCGGATTGGCTGAGGTTGTGACATCATCAGCCCACCTCTCTGACTCAGCCAATCCGAGCAGGCTTTGTATTCATTAGTAGAATACATCACTCGTCGTGATTGGCCCAGCTTATACAGTATGTAGCCGCAGCTGCTGTACATACATGCGTCCAGCGGGCTGATTACAGTAGGGACGTACCGATATGTTTTGAAACCGCTTGGCTCAACGCAGTATACTGTATATACCACACATCCAGCGGGTTGACAGATTAATCTGTCATAGGGACATTTGTTTTGAGACAGCTTGGCTCAGCACAGTATACTGTATGTATAGTATTACCACACATCCAGCCAGCTTGACCCAAACAAACTCAAGGTTCACATTTTATACCCCGCATATAAGACGACCCCCAATTTTTGGGGTACATTTTTAAGTATAAAAAGTAGCCTTATACGCCAGAAAATACTGTACTTAGCAACATTCTGGGAGTATTCCAGTCATACTTCATAAGGTACGTGAATGGCCTACACCTGTAGCAAGGGCGACATTCAACTTTAGTCAGAGACACACAGTTTGCTTATATCCACAGACACCTCTTAACTGCATAGGTAGTTATCTGGTGAAGGTGAACTATCCCTTTAATGAAAAAAGAAAAACACACACAAATCAAACTTGTCTTCAGCAAATACAGTATCTCACAGAAGTGAGTACACTCCTCACATTTTTGTAAATATTTTATTCTATCTTTTCATGTGACAACACTGAAGAAATGACACTTTGCTACAATGTAAAGTAGTGAGTGTACAGCTTGTATAACAGTGTAAATTTGCTGTCCCCTCAAAATAACTGAACATACAGACATTAATGTCTAAACTGCTGACGACAAAAGTGAGTACACCTCTAAGTGAAAATGTCCAAATTGGGCCCAAAGTGTCAATACTTTGTGTGGCCACCATTATTTTCCAGCACTGCCTTAACCCTGTTGGGCATGGAGTTCACCAGAGCTTCATAGGTTGCCATTGGAGTCCTCTTCTACTCCTCCATGACGACATCACGGAGCTGGTGGATGTTAGAGACCTTGCGCTCCTCCACCTTCCGTTTGAGGATGTCCCACAGATGCTCAATAGGGTTTAGGTCTGGAGACATGCTTGGCCAGTCCATCACCTTTACCCTCAGCTTCTTTACCAAGGCAGTGGTTGTCTGGGAGGTGTGTTTGGGGTTAATATAACATAAAAACCTTAAAGCAGAGCTCCACCCAAAACGGGAAGTTCTGCTTTAAAGCCTCCTTCCCCCCTCCTCTTTACTAAATGGTACTTTTTTTTTGGAGGGGGGAGTGGATACCCACTCCTACATCTGAGCGGAATGTCTCCTCCCTCCTTGCAGTTTTCAGGAACAGGTCACAGGTCCCAGCAGACTGCAGGACCATTCACAAAGCCCAGTGTGGCTCGCACATGTGCAATGGGAACCTGGCTGTGAAGCCACACACTGTCACAGCCAGGTGCACACAGTTGAGAAGCCGGTTTTGGGGACAGGAAACCGATGGAAAGAACGACTCAGGTGAGCACATCGCTGTATCCTGGGACAGGTGAGTGTGTTTATTAAAAGTCATCAGCTACAGTTTTTTGTAGCTTCTAACTTTTAATTAAACACAAATTTGACTGGAGCTCCTTTTTAAAGCAGTATAAAACCCAAAAGCAAAAATGTATAATATTGGAGTTTACTAATTCTTACATGTGGCAGCTGCATTAGTTTCCTCTCTTTAACCACTAGCCTACAGGGCACTTATACCCCCTTCCTGCCCAGGCCAATTTCCAGCTTTCAGCGCTGTTGCACTTTGAATGACAATTGCGCGGTCATGCAACACTGTACCTATATGACATTTTTATCATTTTGTTGTGAAAGAGCTTTATTTTGGTGGTATTTAATCACCTCTGGGTTTTTTATTTTTTCTTAAACAAACCGAAAACCACTGAAAATTTTGAAAAAAAAAGTTTTTTTCTTAGTTTTTGTTATAAAATTTTGTAAATAAGTGATTTTTCTCCTTCACTGATATGCGCTAATGAGGCTGCAGTGATGGGCACTATTAGACTGCACTGATGAGGAGGCACTGGTAGGTGGCACTGATGGGCATTGACAGGCATCACTGATGGGCACTGAAAGGCAGCACTCATATATGGCACTGATAGGCGGCACTGACTGGCACTGATAGACAGCACTAATGCACACTGATAGGCGGCACTGACTGGCATTAATAGGTGGCACTGACTGGCACTGATGGGTGACACTGAAAGGCAGCTCAGATGGGCACTGATATGTAGCATTGATGTGCACTGGTAGGCACTGAAATGTGGCATTGATGGGCACTAGCAGGTGGCATGGATGAGCACTGACAGCTGGCACTGCTGGGGTTACACTGATTATCAGTGCCCTGATGATCAGTGTACATGTCCCCTCTGAGGGATGCCGATTACCGGCTCTCCTCTCCTCTCGAGCTGTCAGCGTGACAGCTAGTGAGGAAAGAAATGCCAATAACCGGCATTTCCCTATTTACATGTGATCAGCTGTGATTGGACACAGCTGATCACATGACCGAGCCGACATCTTTGGCTCTTTCCGTTGATCAGTGATCCGCTGTGTCCGAGGTACACAGCGCACCGCCTATCTCCTCGCTGTGCGCTCCCGGAGCCGCGCGTGCACGGTGAGAATGGAAGGACGTCATATGACGTCCTCCCAGAATGAGAGAACCGCCTTGCACCCGTCATTGTACTATATGGTGGGCGGGAGGAGGTTAAAGGCTAAGTTCACCTTTTCCAGAAAATAGCCTATGCGGTCAAGAAGCTTTAGTAGATGTAAAAAAAATTATGCAGGGGGCGCATGTGCGGCGATCCAAAATGGCAGACGCATAAAGGGTGAGCTCTGCTGACCCTCAGTCTTCACGGATCTCACGCTCCGCTCCTACAGCAACCACAGATCTGGGAGATCCCTCTCCTAAATCAGGATGCTCACAGGCATCTCCATGAGGAAAAAAAAAAAAAAATTGGCATTGGAAGCCGCCCACGCCTCCTCCTCCGTATCCCCGGCCTTCCATGCCGAATCGCTTCTTTACTAGGCCTGCATACCTGACCTCAGGTAGTTGCGGTGGTCCGAGTGAGTGCTCCGGAGGGTCCGCTGAAATGGAGGGGACAGACACAGAATTCCCTGCTGCTCTGCATCCTGCCTCGGTGGTCCCCTCTTGGACGGTGGATATCCTGGAGGACAAACTGCAAGTATTCTTACACAATATCACCAGCACTATCTCTGCTGAAATTGGGAAGCTGGCTCTGGAGTTTAGGGGGGAGATTACTCAATTGGTAGACCGCACAGACCACCTTGAGTCAAAATTTGACGAATTGGTGCAATATGTTCATGTCCTGGAAGAGAATAATGCGAACATGAAACACACAGTGTCTCAGTTTCAGCTCCAATAGGAAAACCTGGAAAACAGGAAGCACCGCCAGAATATTTGTGTTCATGGCATCTCCGAAACGGTCCTTGATTCCCAACTTCAGTGCTACTTGCTGTCTCCGTTTACCACTCTGGCCCCCAAGGTCCCAGATGTTGATTGGCGAATGGACCAGGCCCATAGGTCGTTAGGCCCAAAACCTCCTGAGGGCACCAGGCCCAGAGATGTTATCACTTGCTTTCACTACATTGACAGCAAAGAAGCCTTTCTCTCTTCTACTCGCAACAAGCCCTCTCTGGAATTTAAAGGAAACAGGCTTCAAATTTTCAGTGATTTATCCCCCATCACCTTACCAAAAAGGAGTGTCCTGAAGCCTGTCACCACTCATCTCCAGCAGCACCATATTGCTTATTGGTGGGGGTTTACATTCAAGTCATGCCCAAGTCATACTCCGTGACTTGCATGAAGCAGACTCCTTCTTTAAACAGTTGTGACTCCCTCTCCTGCTGGAAGAGGCCTTTCCGCAACTTCCTACTCCATCCAGGTCCTCTACTACTCCATGCAAGATCTGGACAAACCTGAGATTTCCTCGCACTCCTCAACGTCCCCGACTTCACGGTTTGGTGGGTCCCACCATCTGACTCCTTTCTGTATCAGGTCTCCCGCCCTGTTAATTGAGCTTCTCTATTTCCATGTGTGCTTTAGCAATTTCCCTTATTGATGTGTCCTGATTGCAACTGCTATGTGAATTACTGAGGTAGGCACCTGCCATTTCGGGTCAGCTGCCGTGTTGCCCCCTGGTGTGTCAGGCCTTTGGCCCTGATGACTTGGGATGTCTCCAATATCCCGGGTAAATGTAAAATGTTAACAGCGAGCACTCTGTAGGTGGATAGCAGCTAGTACACTAAAGGAAATTACACAAACCTTAAAAATACCATAAACCAAAATAAAGTGCAGCGCTAAAAAGTATAGATAATAAAATAATTAAATGATCGATAAAATAAAAGCGACAATAAAAGTTTGTTCAAATATAAGATATAAAATCGTCCAATTAATAAGATGAAATATATGGCACAAATGGACGCATAAATAAATCTTCCACACCAGCAGATCCTTCAAAAAGCCTGCGACAGATAATAAATGGCAAAAATGAGCACTCACCAGCTGCTGCACATAGGAAATGCGCATATAAATCACCACATGATGGGGAATGCAGCATACAGATGGTGGGCATCCCTCAAAGCCAAAAAGTCGTCAGGTTTTTGGGTGTTCTCTCTACCTCCTTCCCATCATCCCTCATTTCCAGGTGGACGTCATTCCCGGAAATGGCGGATGATGGGAAGGAGGTAGAGAGAATCACCTTCACATCCACGTCCAGAGGAGGGAGCCCTGTATCCAGGCTGTCCACCCAGTCATCCTAAGGGAGACCCCTGGATTTGGCAGACCATTACTACACCCAAAAACCTGACGACTTTTTGGCTTTGAGGGAAGCCCACCATCTGTATGCTGCATTCCCCATCATGTGGTGATTTATATGCGCATTTCCTATGTGCAGCTGGTGAGTGCAAATTTTTGCCATTTATTATCTGTCCAAGGCTTTGGAAGGATCTGCTGGTGTGGAAGATTTATTTATGCATCTATTTGTGCCATATATTTCATCTTATTAAGTGGACGATTTTATATCTTATAATATCCCGGGTACACATCTTTGATGATATCTTTGTTTCCAGCCGTAATCTCTACGGGCTTTGTTTTGAGTGATACGTTTGTTTGTGATAGGCCTGTTGCCATGCTGATGACTTGGTTCGCTATTCCTGTTTTCTGTTTTGCCTCATCGATAATTTTTCTGCATACTCAGGTTGCACAGCTGCTACACTCATTACTGTTTCCTGATGGCTTTAAGGCTGTTGTCATATAATGTCAAAGGGCTTAATTCAGTCCAACAAAATGGTGGATGGCTCTGAAGGAGTTCAGATCCTCGGGAGCATATTTATTCACGAAACCCACTTCAAACAGGATGGCTCTTTTCGCTTTGTCTCTAAGAGCTTTCCACAATCCTATTGGACCCCTCCGAGAAAGCCGGAGTAGCTATTTTGATCCGGAAAAACTGCTCCCTGCAGGTCTCCTTCTCTCGGGTTGACTCACTTGGCCATTATGTTTTGCTGGAATTTATGCTTTTGAACTTGTATGCACCCAACTCTGGTCAACTGTTATTTCTCTCTCAAACTCTAGATAAATTGTGTTCCCTATCTACTCCATGCTTGATTATTGGGGGAGATTTTAACCTAGTTATGTTTCCTCATAAGGATAGGAAGGCCCTTATTGTATCTACTCCATCGAAGAGACTATGTTCCTCCTCAACGGCTTTCCATTAACTGATCCTGGAGCATCGCCTCTTTGACGCCTGCTGGGTCAAACATCCTCTCCCATAGGCAATTCAAATTCTACTCTACTCCACATCGCAAGTTCTCTCGATTAGATCATTTTTTTGTCACCGCCCCTCTAATCCCCTTTATGATCTCCTCGGAGATCAACCCAATGACTTAGTCAGATCATGCCTCACTGTCACTCGATCTCCTTCTTCCTAACTAATCCCTTAGGGTCTGCCACTGGCGCCTCAATGAGAGTATTCTGCGCTCAGAACAACTTTGAGAGGAGCTCTCTCGGGGCCTGGACGCTTATTTTCAACATAATGTTGGCTCGGTGGGTTCGTCCTCAACCCTCTGGGAGGCCCAGAAGGCTGTCTTCAGAGGCCACTGTATCTCCCTGGGCACTCGATTAAAGAAGGCCTCTGTTTGTGCCAGACAATCTCTCCTACACAAACTATCCACAATTACTATATAGCTCATCTGTTTCACGGCTCCAGAAAGTTTCTCACATACGGGAACAAATTAGGGCTCTAGACCTGCATAAAACTGCCCAGTTTTTGCTTGGACTAGGCAAAAATGTTATGAGTTTTCTAATAAACTGCATTGCATGCTTGTAAATAGACTTAAAATTCAAACATTCCCCTCACTACCGGGCCACCTACTCTGATGGCAAACCCACATATGACCCACATATTATGGCTACAATATTTGAGGAATACTATGAGAATCTTTATTGCCTAGCCCCTGACTCTCACCCTTCCCTTCAGATGCTACTTTTGATGCTTTTTTGGACTCCTTACAATTACCATGTTTGTCACCTTCTGACGTTGCAGCTCTAAACATCTCTATTGAAGAATTATTGGATGTTGTGAAACATCTCCCTACTCACAAATCCCCAGGGCCGGACGGTCTTCCTTACTCATACTACAAGTCCTTTATTGGCATCTTAGCCCCCATCTCCTAGCCTTGTTTCGAGATCTCTTGAAGGGGTCACATCCACACGATGATTTTACACGTGCAAACATTTCTGTGATCCCCAAGCCGGATAAGGACCATTTTCTTCCAGATAATTATCATCCTATAGCCTTATTAAATTCTGACTACAAGATTTTTACGAAAAAAATAGCTAACAGACTGGCCAAATGTATCTCCAAGCTTATACACAGAGACCAGGTGGGCTTTGTCCTGGCTAAACACGACACAGATAACACCCCCCCTTGTTGTTTATCCTGTTTGGAACCCCTGGCTATAGCTATCAGATCCAACCCGGATATTAATGGGATACGCACCTACAATAGTGACTTCAAACTATCTTTGTTCGCTAATGATATCCTGTTGACGGTGACGGAGCCCCTCCTCACTCTACCGGTCTTACATCGTACTTTGCAGCTTTTCGGTGCTCTGTCGGGTTATAAGGTTAACATGTCTAAAACTGAAGCATTACCGCTCCACATACCATTTTATTTTCTCTTCAGTCAAATTATCCCTTTTGGTGGTGCTCCTACACCTTGAAGTACCTAGGTACAAACCTTACCTCCTCATACCACTCCCTATATGAAGTTCATTTCTCAGTCCTTAAAAGCTTGGGGCAATCGTGCCATCTTCTTCCTTGGACAGCTGAATGTGCTAAAAATGACCATATTGCCCAAACTTCTGTATCTGTTTGAGATGTTTCCTGTTTCTATTCCCATGTCCAAGTTGCGCTCCCTTCAGAAATCCTTCCTCTACTTCATCTGGCATAATAAATCTCACCGAATTGCTCGTACTGTC